CGAACTCACAAAGATCCACCTGCCTCTGCCTCCCTAGTGCTGGGATTAAAAAGGCGTGCACCACCACTGCCTGGCCCAAGACCCTTTCTTAAAACAAGAAAAGAAACAGAACATCTCCTCACTGGCCCGACAGCACATTGTATCCATAGAAAGACATCGGGGCCTGAGGCTTTGAGGGTGGCCCTCCACATTGCATGGTCCCAAAAAGCGTGACTTGAGTGTACTAAACTTAAGAGAGCACTGTGGATAGCTGGTCCCTAGAGTAGACTTGTTAGGAACCAAACAGCCAAGGGCCTGGTTTATAAATTGAGTGCCTACGGTCTGAATCCCTTTAGCTGAATGTTCTGTCACCTAGACCTTTGGCGACTGCAGTGCAGATGGTGTCCCTGCTTCAGTTAAAGCTTAACTAGCTTTACCAGGAAAGACAGCCTGCCCTATAGGATAACTTTCATTAATGGCTGGTTCATTTATTTTGTGGCTTAATTGACCTCTAGAAAGAGTCACATTATTTCCTTAGCTGGGAGCATACTGTAATCCTTGAAGACTGCAGGCCCCCATTTTTCCATGTTTGAAATTGGAACCATACAGGTAGAGGGACAGGATGGAGAGATGAGGACCTGCTCTGTAGGAAGCTGCCGGCCAGCTATAATACTGTGAGGATACTTCACACGTCTGAGGAGTTAGCCTTGAGCCAGGCTCTGCTACACTGAGTGTCTACACCCAAAAGAAGGTGGACATGGTGGCATAAGCTTTTAATCCCAGCATCTGGGAAGGCAGGGGGATCTCTGAGTTTGAGGACAGCCAGGGCTACACAGAGAAACCCTGTCTCAAAGGGGAAAAAAAAAAAGACAAGACAAGAAAGTAAATGAGATAGATAGCACAGTGTACTGTGGGCATAGGGAAGAGAGGTAATTTAAGACGACCTCTCTCTGATTGTCTGGAGGGGTGTGGACTTTAAGGAAGGCCTACTCAACTATTTGTCGGGAAATGGGGATAAAGGGTCTTAAGTAAAAGACTCCCTTTAGCAAAGGGAGAGGTAGGGAAGTGCAGAGTATTTGGGGGACTTAAGCGTTTGATGTTTTGGGGTTAAAGGCAGAAGTTAAGATGTTTAACAGAAACCAGGCTGGAGGTTTATGACTGTAATCCCAGGACTTAGAAGGCCGAAGCAGGAGGATTGCTACAAGGGCAGCCTTGGCTACAGTGTGAGACCTTGTCAGTCCCCAACCCAATCTCCCCCACCCCCACACACAAAAAAAAAGGTATCTAACAAGTCATCTTGCATTTATTGTGTCTGACAAGTTCTTCTTCGTCTACAGTTCAGTGACCATACATTGTTTCCTTAGTGCCGCCTGTTTATAACGCTGGTACAGGCTCTCCATCACATTTCCTTCTCAAAACTATCCTACAAGTTAGGATTTCATCCCATTTTAGATGAGCAGAGGGGTAAGTAGGACCTGCTAGTATCCTATAGCCTTTTTTTTTTTTTTTTTTTTTTCTTTTTTCAACAGGGTTTCTCTGTGTAACAACCCTGGCTGTCCTGGCACTAGTTCTGTACACCAGGCTGGCCTCAAACCCACAGAGATCCCCCTGCCTCTGCCTCCCGACTGCTAGAATTAAAGGCATGCGCCATTACAGCCTGGCATCATACAGCTTTAAGTAGCTCAGGATTAATACCAAAGCCAGTGTTTCCACTGCACCACAGCACTACCCACAATCACTTTGGCTCACATTTGTTACATATTCAAATGATAAGAATTCTGTTTGCTTTTGAAAGAAAAGATAGAAAACATTTTTATTAAATAAGAAGTCTCCCTCTAACGTATTCAAATCCAGTCCTTTAAAAAAAAAAAAGATTTGTTTGTTCATTATGTATGCACATGCCAGAAGAAGGCATCAGATCCCATTATAGATGGATATGAGCCACCATGTGGTTGGGAATTGAACTCAGGATCTGTGGAAGACCAGCCAGTGTTCTTAGCCTCTAAACCACTTTCTAGCCCTAGAAAACATTGTTTAAAATGTATGTGTATGGATGTTTTACCTGCATGTATGACTGTACCAAGTATATGCCTATGGAGAGCAGAGGGCAGAAGAGGGCATTGGGCACCCTGGAAATGGAGTTAAGAGATGGTTGTGAGCTTCCATGTGGGTGCTGGGAATCAATCCCAAGTCCCCTGGAAGAGCAGCCTTTGTGCCATCTCTCTAGCCCTGAGAGATCTCTGAGAAGGCATTTTTTTGTACTAAGGAGCATACATTATGCACTTGAATTATTGTTTAAAAGCATTAATTAACTAAGCATTAATAGCACATGCATTTAGTCTCAGCATTTGGGAGGCAGAGGCAGGTGGATCTCTGGGTTTGAGGCCAGCCTGGTCTACAGAGTGAGTTCCTGGACAGCCAAGGCTACACAGAGAAACCCTGTCTCAAAACCCCATCCCCCCAAAAAATGTAAATACACAGGTCCTGATTTTGATCTCTAGCACTGAGACAGAAAAGATTGATTTAAAGAAGATTTATACTCTTTTCAAAATATTTTTCATGGCTAGACATGCTGGCACATGCCCATAATCCCAGCACTTAGGAATAGATGCAGGAAGATGAGGAATTCAAAACCATTCTTTGCTACATAATGAGTTCAAAGCCTGCCTGACCTTCATGAGACCCTGTCTCAAAAACCCAAACAAGGGCTGGAGAGATGGCTCAGAGGTTAAGAGCACTGGCAGCTCTTCCAGAGGTCCTGAGTTCAATTCCCAGCAACCACATGGTGGCTCACAACCATCTGTAGTGAGATCTAGCACCCTCTTCTGTATACATAATAAATAAATAAATCTTTAAAAAAAAACAAAAAAACAAAACCCCAAACAAAGAAAAAACCCAGCAACAACAACCCCATGTAATGATTTTAGGACCCTCATGTCCAAGTGAAGCAGGAGCTATTACGAAGATCCTCATCCTGGTGTTGCCTGTGGTGCTCTTCACTATACCACTAGGAACAAAGTCCTGTGTACTGGTTCCCCAACACACACATATACCTGCAGTTACTACAACTCACCTTACAGCTTTGAGAAACGAACTAAGTACTGTTCTCAGAAAGTCCCCCTCTGGGGCCTGTTGAGATGGCTTAACAAGTACAAGAGCTTGCTGCCAAGCTTGACAACCTGAGTTCAGCCTCCAGGACCCACATGGTGGAAGGAGAGAGCAACTCCAGCAACTTGTTCTCTGACCTCTACAGGGTGCCCAAATGTGCATACACAAACACACAACAAATAAATACTTGTGTTTAAAAAAAAAAAAGAGCCAGGCAGTGGTGGTGCACGCCTTTAATCCCAGCACTTGGGAGGCAGAAGCAGGCAGATCTTTGTGAGTTCGAGGCCAGCCTGGTCTACAGAGCGAGAACCAGGTGCAAAGCTATTTAGAGAAACCCTGTCTCAAAAAACCAAAAAAAAAAAAAAAAAAAAAAAAAAAAGGAAAGAAAGAAAAGAAAAGCTCCTCCTTTGCCTTAATTTCTCAAACCATTCTCCTCCATCAATCTTCCATGCCTGTAAGATGACAGATGAGTTCTGTCTACACTTAACATTAAGCAGCTACCTTGCGCATTGAGACAGCCCCTTGGCAGAGTGTTTTGGCTGTGTCTTTTATCCATTCCACTTGTGGTACTCTTTTCCACATTCCTTGTCCTTCCCCAGGTGTTTCATTATGCTCCTAGTGTCACTTCTGGTTCCTTTCTTTTTTGAAAAACCAGGGACCCAGGTTAGTATGATGGCAACATGGCAGACTTAAGGATACCCAACTCATTGTGATGTCACATGAAACAACAATGGCACCCCTTACAAACACATTACCTAGTGGAGGGTGAATCTGAAAGTTATGCAGAGTTGTGGAACAAACCACCCTGCAACCTAGTGCCTCAAAACACTACCACTTCCTATTCCTACTGAATCTACTGCTTGGTGGGATTTCACCTGGGCTTCCCCATAGATCTGTCAGCTGACTGACTAGTTAAGAACACTCATTTTCTTCAAGTCCCACAGATGGGCAGGAGTGGCAGAGGCACAAGGTCTTGGCAGGCTATCCATGCAAGGTTACCAGGAGAAGTGCATACACACTGTTGAGATTGGTGCTGCCAGCATGTCTGCTAACACCATCCTGTTGGCCCAAAGGAAGTGGCAGGGCCATGTGCAGTGTCAGTGGAAGGAGACTAGAGTTGGAAAATAGAGAAAAACCATTAACTGAGCTATAAATATAATTAGGTTCCCAGTCAGAACCCCAATGTGAAAGGAAACTTTGAAACTTAAATGACTGGATCCGATCTGTTGTAAGGGGAAGAAACAGGCCAAGTCATGATCTGGGCCTGAGCTATGGCATGCAGCATTCTGCACAGCTCTACAAGGTGGGTAGGAAGCAGAGCTCAGAGGAGTTAAATAACTTGCTCAAGGTCATCGTCGGCTGATTCATGCTGAGGCTGAGGTGAGAGTGCTTGTCTGTCTGGCCCCAGAGTCTAGGTTTTTTCCCACCATCCTTACTCAAAAGGGCACCAGGGTCTGTCGTTCTAAATTCGCTGCAGTACTAAAGGAATTGCTCATCTCTCCAGAAAACGCACATCCATTTTCCTTTCAGGTGAGGACTGATCTGTAGCCTGCATAGAACTGTGGCCCTTCCTAGGCATTCCAGAGAGGGAGAAACCTCTTCTCTGTTCTTTGATGTTGAGGACAGCTGAGCATGAGTTTTGGAGTCAGATTTACTGGGATTCAACCGTTCACTAGCTCTGTAACCTTGGGCAACTCATTTAACTTCTTGAAGTCTGTTTCTTCATCTTAAAAAATGGGAATAAGAACACCTTGTTTGCAGAGCTGTCACAAGGACTAAAAGCTAAATTATGTTGATAAAGTGCCTATCCCAGTGCCTGGCACGTAATGAATGGTGTTATGAATACTGTTAGCATCTTTTCTAAGGACAGCCTTTCCCCCTCCTGGGAACCCCTGTGTCTGTGTGTTGGACAGGTTCCCCCCACCTCCAGCCAGTCTGTGCAGACTTGTTGCCTGCTGTGTCACCGCGAGCGCAAAGGCTGGGAAGAAGGCCCTTCACAAAATGGACTGGTGTTGCAGGGTGAGAAGCTGCCCCCTGACTTCATGCCAAAGCTCGTCAAGAATCTCCTAGGCGAGATGCCTCTATGGGTCTGCCAGAGTTGCCGAAAGAGCATGGAGGAAGATGAGAGGCAGACAGGTCGAGAACATGCAGTGGCGGTAGGTAACAGCTGACAGGTGACCTCTGAAAGCAGGACTGCTTCCTCCCTAAGGGAGTCAGGCTGTTTCCCCTGGCCTCAGGAAGCTCTGCCCAGGCTGCTCTAGAAACCATCCGGCTGCACTTAGTGTCTGCAAGTTGGGTTTAGATCTGAAGGAAGAAGACATGGGCCTGCTGGTGGACGGAGATAGATCTTGATCCTGTCCTGTCACCTGACCCTGATGCCTTCAGCCTACGGCTGTTCGAAAGGCCACCACTATGACACAGATGAGTCAGAGGGTCTGAGATGTACTTCAGTCAGAAGACAACAGTAATAGCTGGGAGCCGTGGAAGACTGCTGTCTGTGAGGCATATCAGCCCAACTTCACTTCTTTTTCCCCTGGAGACTTACATTTACCCAGAATCAGTTTAGTTTCAAGACTTCTCACTTGGGGCTTGAGATGTAGCTCGGTGGTAGAATGTTTGTCTTGTGTGTGCTGGGAAGAAAAATAAAAAGAAAGGAGGGCCAGGGAGATGACTTGGTGGGTAAAAGCTCCAAAGCACCTGCCGCACAAGCTTGAGGACCTTATTATAGTCCTCAGAACCCACAGAAAGCCATATGTGATAGTACATATCTGTAATCCCCATACTCCTGCAGTAAAGTGGGAGGTGGAGACAGGATAGCCCCTGGAAGTTGGTGGGCCAGCTAGCATTGCTTACATAATGGTAAACCAACAAGGAGACCCTGTAGGAAACCAGGTGGAAGGTGAGGACCTCCATCCAAGGTTGTCTCCACTTGTACACTGTGGCACATGTGCACCTGCACTTACACATGCATGTATACATATCATACACATACACAGATATTCCTAATAAACAGAAGGAAGGGCTGGGTGTGGTGGCACTCACCTTTAGTCCCAGTGCTTGGAAGGCAGAGGCAGGCAGATCCCTGTAAGTTTGAAGCCAGTCTTTCCTACAAAGTGAATTCCAAGACAGCCGGGGATACATAGAGAATTAGACTTTGTCTTAAAAAGTCAAAGAAATAAAAGTAAGAAATAAATGAAAGACTGGGGCTAAAGAGATGGCTCACTGGTTAAGAGCACTAGCTGCCCTTTCAGAGCACTGGGGTTGATTCTCAGCACCTACATGGTAGCTCATGACCTGCTGTAATTCCAGTCCTAGGGCTCAGTTGCCTTCTTCCGGCCTCTGTGTGCACACGGTGCACAGATACATATTCAGGCAAACACTCATACACATAAAGTCTCAAAAATTTTAAAAATAAATGGAAGGAAGGAGAAAGGGGAAGGGGGAGCGTGAGTGCTAAACTGCACTTCTGATTCAAAGACTTCATCTTGTTGGCGGCTCTTCACACACACAAATGGCCCATGTTCATAGACAGGCTCTGCCCGCTATCCACACAGCCATGGAACTGGGAACACCATAGTCCCTTCCAAGTACTTCATTGGCCCTTGATTATAGTTCACCATGACTTGTGCTTATTGGCTTCAGTCATAACGTTACTAAGGGCCTGAAGGACAGGGCAGCCCCACTATTTGACCATGAGCCTTTTTCTTTCTCCTTTCCAGATCTCCTTGTCACACACATCCTGCAAATCCCAGTCTTGTGGGGGTGACTCTCATTCATCCTCGTCCTCTTCTTCATCATCCTCATCTTCCTCCTCCTCTTCCTGCCATGGGAACTCAGGGGACTGGGATCCCAGCTCGTTCCTGTCAGCACATAAGCTCTCAGGCCTCTGGAATTCCCCACACTCCAGCGGGGCTGTGCCAGGCGGCTCGCTTGGGAGTCCTCCTGCCATCCCTGGTGAGTCTTTAAGCTTCCGGAAAGTACTGGGCCCCCTTCTAGGTAGATAGCTGTTTGCCTTTCTATTTTGGCCCAGTCAATGAGAAACTTGGTTATTAAAATAAGTAAATGTAGACCTGTTCTGATGGCAGTGGAGACAACCTAGACTTTGTCTTTCTCTGGAAGACCTTCTGCAAGACTCTGAAGTTATAAAATACTGCCAGAGAGAAAAAAAGAGTGCCCTCATAGCTGTCATTGGCTTAACGTTGGGTCCATGAGAGATCCTCATACTGTCTGAGGAACGAGTGGCCTGGGAAAGCCCATAGGGAAGTGAGACTTAGATCATGTACACCTGCTATCTATACCATTGACAACCTGAGCCACCTCTGCTTCCTTGGCCTCACTGGACTTTGTTTGTCTACCTTAGGGATAGCTGTACAGCACTGTACTTAAGCACAGGAGATTAGCAGGTGGCAGGCAGGCCACAGGACTCTTCCTTAAGCTCAATACTAATGCTCAGAGACCCAGAGGGGAAAGCCTTTGGAATGGTACTGTCATAATTCTAAATGGAGGATGGAGTTCTTCAAAATGGTAGTGTTCTAAAAGTATGTGAATTGAATGCGTAACTCCAGTTATCTTGGTCCATGCTGAAGAGAGTCATCAGAGCTTTTTCCTACTTTAGTCAGAGATCTGTCACCTCCCAGGAGTCAGGCATACCTTGGCTGCACTGGTCCATGTGGCCCAGAGGCAGATCCCAAGGTTGCTATAGCTTCCTTTCTCAGGCCTAAGGAATGCCCAAGAATAAGTAGCTCCTAGAGGGACCCAGAGAAACAGCAGAAATATCTTCGGTTCACACCGCAGCAGAGCCACAGCCTCCTCGGGCTTGGGATACTCAAACCTGTCCAGCAGACCTGCTATCCATATCCTCTACAGGGGCCTTGTGCTGAGAGGCTGTGCCCTCTGGCCACATTAAACAGGATGATGTGGCAGTGAGCCTGTGGGCTTTCCTTCCCAGGTCTGACCCCTTTTTCTCCCCTCCACCTACAGGTGAGGCTTTCCCTGTCTCGGAGCACCACCAGCACTCAGACCTCACTGCTCCCCCTAACAGCCCTACCGGCCACCCCCCACATCCAGCATCTCTGATTCCTTCTCACCCTGGCTCCTTCAGCTCACCGTCCCACCCACACCTGCTGCCCACCACCCCGGCAGCACCTTTCCCTGCCCAGGCTTCAGAGTGCCCTGTGGCTGCTGCCACTGCCACCCACCCCCCAGGGCCTTGTCAGAGCCCCCATCTGCCCTCCACCAGCATGCCACTCCTGAAGATGCCTCCACCATTCTCTGGGTGCAGCCACCCCTGCAGCGGGCACTGCGGTGGGCACTGCGGTGGGCCTCTCCTCCCACCACCGAGCTCTCAGCCACTCCCTAGCACTCACAGGTAAGTGAGTGGCGTGAAAGGCACCACTCCCTGCTCACTGGAGCCTAAGAGTTATGGAAAACTTGCTAAGAACACTTTTAGGATGGAAATCAAAGTGTAGATTGGGCTGGAAGTAGTAGCTCAATGCTAGAGCACAGTCTTAGCATGCATGAGGTCCTGTGTTCACACTCAGCACCAAAATAAATGCATTCTAAATTAAGGGTTTTTTCATTATAATTTTTTTAAGCTTAGAACAATTCATATGTAAAAAAGAAAAGGGTCTTTACAACCTAAAGAGAAACTTCTAGAACTGTGCCCTCTTTTCTTGAAGATACTTCTGTATATAAATGACATAATTTGGTCTATATTTGATAAATATTTTATGTAGCGTTTTTTTTATTTTCTTCATTTTGAGACAGGTTCTTGCTATGTAGCCCAAGCTAGCCTATAACTTGTGATTCTCCTGCTTTAGCCTTCTACTACTGGGATTACAGGTGTTTCTTACCATCTCTGGCCTGCATAGCAACACTTTTTAAATATCATGATCATTTCCCTAATTAAAACTCCTTTTAAAACTTAAGTAGCCAAGTTATTGTTTTAGTTTTTCAAGACAGAGTCTCTTTACTCCTAACTGTCCGGAAATTGTTCTGTAGACCAGGCTGGACTCAAACTCAGAGATCCACCTGTCTCTGCCTCTTGAATGCTGGGGTTAAAGGTGTGTGCCACCATGCCTGGCTTATTTCCAAACTTTTCCTCCCGAAACAGGGTTTCTCTGTGTAGCCCTGGCTGTCCTGGAATTCACTCTGTAGACCAGGCTGGCCTCAAACTCACAGAGATCCTCCTGCCTCTGCTCCTGAGTGCAGGGATTAAAGGTATGCACCACTACAGCCTGGCTTTCATTTCCAGATTTTAACCAAGAAAAATACTGTTGTGATAAGCATCCTAAGTCTGTGTTTGAATAGATCTGGGCCCTTTATAGCCCCAAAGGAAGCTCTGTGGTTCTGTTGGCTTTATTTGAATGTGGATGTATTGAAGGCAGATGTTTTCTAGGTTGACCCTGGCTATTTATCTGTCTTCCACAGTCTGAGATCTCACTGCCCTACAGCCACCACTCTTGTCAACTCTTTCACATGGTGCTGATGATGTCAGTACAGACTTGGATCTTGCAGTTTTCACGTAGTAGTAGTGTGTTCCTGTGTTCTGTTCTTAATGTTCAGTATTTGGGGCTGGAGAATATTAACTATAATTCATTTTGCTGGTCTCCAGTTGCAGAACATTATCATCATTTTAACATTATAACCAACATCTAAAGATGTCTTGGCTTAAAGCTTTTTCCTCTTTTAGACTTTTTCATCACTGTTTCTTGGGAGAGTTCTTAACACACATTGGCAAAATGCTTTCTCCCATGCACAGTGCTGCACACCTATAATCGTAGCAATTGGGAAGCGGAGGCAGGAGGATCTAGAGTTCAAGGCCAGCCTCAATTTTGTAGAAAGACCTACTGTGAAGTGTGAGTGAAGGCAACGAGAGGAGAGAGCACCCAAATGCGTATGAGTGCTGGGGGTTCCCTCTGTGGTAGATGCAGAAGGCCCTGAGAATAGGTGGGGGAACTGCTTTTTATAGGGTTCTCTGAATCCATGTAGCCACCAATAAAGAGTAGTGGTCTGTATGTATCTTCAGAAACTGAATATTTAATTTTCCTAAAAGGAATTTTGCTTAATGTAATAGAAGAAATGTGAGCTTGTAATAAACTATAGGCACCATTGATACCAACTTCTGCTGCCTTTTCTAAACCCTACCATGTGTTTGCTGACCTTTCCAACAGCAGACATGGGCTACACTGGCTTGTCCTAGACTGTCACCTTACTCTTATTTCCTCTGAAACATGGGTCCAGCTTCTGCAGTATTCCAGCTGTTGCTGACCCATCCATCATAGGGCTCTGGTTCTTCCCAGCTCTGATTCTGGGACCTCTCAGCCTGTTTCATCTTCACCTTAGGAAGAAATTGTATATAATATAAGTTTCCCCAACTTATTGCCAGAGTCTGGAGGCAGAATGTAAGTGGAGAAAGCATGAACTCTGTACACAGGGAAACACAGGTTTGTGTTTTACTATCTGTTGGACTGTGCCCTGAGCCTCAGTCTCTGCAACTGTTAAAAGGGGATAGTGGTGCTGATTTTTTTAGGACTTCAAGGATGGCTAGATAACATGCTGAGGACGTTTCTGGGTCCAGGCAGTAGCTCTTGCAGTTTATAGCTCCCAGGAGACAAATTTGCTTTTTCTCATCACAGAGCTCTTGATTAAGGAAGCTCTACCTGCTGATACAGATGCCAGACAGATGTGTTGTGAGGACCCTGGGAAAGTAGAAAGTTTTCATTGATCATTTGGGGCTGTACCAGAGGACCCATCAACTCACAAGTCAGTTCAGATTCCTGCTTGTAAAGCACTTGCTGTGCAAGGTTGCCGTGTTGTGTAATGGGACTCCTCCAGAATTTAAGTACATACTGTCTATTTAACCTAGTTTAAAGGAAATGATGAACAGCCCATTATCACAAGACTTGATAAAACAGCAAGCTAGAGAGGTACCCGTACACAGTGCCCTCAAAGAGGTTTATGCAGGAAACTTCCACAGTCAAACTTTGCATTTGTGATGGCCTATGAGGCAGTGGAGACACTGATCAGGCTCTGCTCTTTGCCAGAGGCACTGGTGTGGCAGGTGAAAGGCAGTTGGAATGGTGACTGGGGATTGGGACACTTTTCTGGCTCCTGCTATATTCTGTGCCTGCACCACTTACTCTCACCTCTGGGCCCTTCTCCGTTGCAGCAGGGACCCTGGGTGCAAAGGGCACAAATTTGCACACAGTGGCCTGGCCTGTGAGGCAGATGAGGGTCTGGGCGAGGAAGAGGATAGCAGCTCTGAGCGCAGCTCTTGCACCTCGTCCTCCACCCACCCACGCGATGGGAAGTTCTGTGACTGCTGCTACTGTGAGTTCTTCGGCCACAATGCGGTGAGTGAGCCTGCCTGGGCAGAGAGGGCTGGGCAGCCAGGGGGCAGAGGACAGACCCCTTGCTCATGGCAGCGATTGCCACACTGGGACCGAGAGCCCTTGTACCTGCATCTGCTTGCTTCAACCTGGAGGCACGTTTGGGAGATTGGGCTTTCTTAACATTTTGTTGGCTGTGCTCTGTGGTTTCTCTTAAGATTGACTTTTTTTCTTTAGGCAAAAGAAAAGGAAGTAGCAGAGAGAAAGCTATGTATGATTCTGATGAGTATATATACGTGTGTAATCCCAGAGAAGTGAATGCTTGTGCATGATGAAGGCAGGGTGGGAGCAAAAAGTTCCCCAAGTGTGGCAGCCAGCTGAGGTACAGGCCATGAGCACCAATGGCACCAAGGAGGAGGCTCAGATCAGGGTACCTGCTGTCTCTCGACAGGGGACAATTCAGAAGTCTCGGAAGGAGAGAAGGAAAGGGCTGCTGGCTAGGGCAGAGCAGTTGAGGATAGGAAACGTGGAAATAATTCAAAATTACTAGTCACCTTTGAGCTAGGAATTGTTATCTTCATTTTAGAGGTGACAAAATTGAGGTTCACAAAGACTCAGTGGCTCACCCAAGGTCATACAGCTTCCAAGTGATGAAGCCCGGGCTCAAATCTGCTTTCCTGGCTCCCCAGTCCTTGGTCACCGAGCCGTCTTCACACCTACCACTGCTTCAGCTCAGAGCCTACTGAGGATGAAGTCATTTGGCCTTGGTTGCTGATGCTAGAGAGAATAATCGTCTGGCTTCTCACCACATACATGGTGCCAGCGGGTGGGAGTGCTATGGGCCTCCCAGGCCTAGGGTGTAATGTCAGCACCTCCCCTCCCCCAGCCACCCGCTGCCCCGACGAGTCGGAATTATACTGAGATCCGGGAGAAGCTCCGCTCGAGGCTGACCAGGCGGAAAGAGGAGCTGCCCATGAAGGGGGGCACCCTGGGCGGGATCCCTGGGGAGCCAGCGGTGGACCACCGAGATGTGGATGAGCTGCTGCAATTCATCAACAGCACGGAGCCCAAAGTCCCCAACAGCGCCAGGGCCGCCAAGCGGGCCCGGCACAAGCTGAAAAAGAAGGTGGGTGTGGGGGGAGCTCAACTCTACTGCCTCTCCTCCCCGAGGAATTCCTCACCCCAAGCCCTAAGACCTCTGGGGCGTGATCGGTGCTGGCTGCCAAAAAAACGTTGGTATGGCTCAACTGCTATGGGAAGGTCTGGATGAATCTGGGAGGCATCAAGGTCAGGGAAAACCTGGGGGCAAGTTTTTGGAGAAGGAAATGTCTTAGGTGCAAGCTGCTTGCTCAAGTCCTCCAAGCTGAGGACTTGCTACAGTTGGTCATTTATTCATTCAGCAAGTACTTCCACAAATACTGGGAGCCAAAATGTAACAGTTAAGTTCCCACCAGAGAGAAGCTTAGTCTAGTGAGGAGACTGACACAAAACTGGACAAGCACATTAGGGTGTGACAAGTACCAGAGGGAGGGAAGTGCCCATTGTTGCCCAGAAGTGGCTTTACTAGGGGTTGACTCACCATCTGAGTCCTGGGGAGTAAGGACAGATTCATCAGGAGGTCCTTGCTCCTGGCAGCAGGCACAGCACATCTCACAGGCAGTGTGGTAAAGCCAAAGCTGAAAGTGGCAGAGAAGTGGGGCGGGTAGTGGAGGTAGAAGACAGTCTCAGAGGCCCTGCTGAAGATCAGCTTTGACTTTAGCCTCCAGATGAGAGCACGTCAGCGGATGGGTGACATCAGATAGTGCACTTGTCAAGGCTGTATTTTGATTGCAGTGTGGTGGTACAGAAGGCATGTGGGAAGATGAGGGCAAGAAAACTTTGAGTTTGATACCCCAGGCAGGGAAGTACGAGACCAAGGGGGAGGTGACTGAGAGTGGGACTGGAGAGATTTGAGGGCAGCAGAAGTGACAGGCTTGGGTATTCTGATGACAGTATGATGACACAGTTGGGTGTCTCCCAGTATGCTGATGGTGCTTGTGCCGGAGCCAACATGGCAGTTTGAGAAGGAAGACTGGATGCAGTTGGGTTCATTGACGCAGGTTCCCGTGAGACAGTCAAGTGCAAGTGCAGGTGTGAGACTAGAGTTGTCAGGGCAGAGATGTAACTGAAGCCATGGGAACGAACCAGTCCTCGGTGCTGTTCCTGGACAGCCCTGCTGCTAGATGAGCCCTGAGCTTGATGGCTTGCCACCTGCGGCTTCCTTACTTCGCCTGCCTACCCCCAGCTGCGCCTTGCACGGTGCCATACACAGGAACCACCATCTGAAGAGATTTGGTTCGGTAGCCAGCCAATTCCTTTTTTTGGGTGGTCAAACAACCCTAGAGCTCTAGAAGGCAGAAGTGATTCTCCATCTTCCCAGCCCAAGGACAACCAAGATCCTTCTGCAGCCTGAAGTAGTGAGCCGAAAGGTCCTGCTGTTACCTTCAGAGAATGGTCAACCTTCCTTTGCTTCCACCCAAAGTTGCTCTCCTGAGGTGTTCAGTAGGTTACAGTGGTCTCTGGCCTCTTCAAGCAGTCCCCAGAGGGCTTGCTCAGTAGTTCCCAAGTCTGGTGTGCTTTTTATAAACCCATGGACCTTTCCTGAATGACTGTCACTCCAGGTGAAACACTTCAGATGTTTCCTCCTTTGCAGACACCCTCAGGGAAGTCTCCTGCTGTACTTCTCCTTCACCATATCTCTAGGCTGCCTTCTGCTCTCTAGCTCACTATCTACTAGACCCAGCCTTGTAGGCTAGGACAAACATACATAGGTGGTCTCAGTATTAGATCAGCCTCCCCTCTGAGGTCCAGCTTCCCTGGTAGGCATGTAGTGATGACTGCTTACTCTCTACCACCTTAGGAGATGGGTAAAAGCAGGGTCTTCCCATTCCCTCACCCCACTTCCTTTTTCTTGCCTTTAGGCACTAGTCCCTGATCCTTTGAAGCTGCACCCCTTCCTATGCCGTCTGCAACCTCACAGCCAGTCTTCTCTGTCCTCTTCATGTTGCCATCTGACCCTCTCTTTGTCTTCTTCCCAGGCCAGTCTAGCACTCGCTCACTTGAGGTGAGAAGTAGGGGTAAAGAGCAAGTGAACCGACATCATTCTCACTCCTTACTGGCTCTCTTCACTCCTTGCCGTTGCCCTTCTGTCACACCTGCTCAGACAATCGCCTCCCATCCTATCCTTCTCCCCTTCTACACCCAGAGGATAGCTTGTGACTATTTATGTGACACTCAGCTAGGTGCTTTCCCACTTGCTTAGCTCTCCTGTTGCCTGGCTGACCTGTTCCCTATCCTTTATTCCTTGTCATGCCCATTCACATGGCCCTTTCGTCAGACCCTCCCTTGTTTTTTAGCAAATAACTTCACTTCTGTTTTCATCAAGGAAAAAGCCATTGGACATACCTCCTCATCTAAAGGAAGGGCTGCCCTTCTCCCACCCCAGCCCCTATAGTCCTTTTTTGCTTCCCTAGCTTAGGCTGCTTGCTCTATTTTCAAAGCCTTTGATTGGTAAACATTGTCTGAGGCTCAAACCCATACTCTAGCAAAGAGATCTGCAGTCTTTCCTCTGGCCTAGGTCCCATCACATGTCTTTGTGCCCACTGTTGAATTTCAAAGGCAGACAGTTCCTGGAAGCTGGAGCCTTTCCTGCTCTCCCTGTTTGCTTCCTTCATCATAGCTGTAATTTTTGACAACCTTACATCTGTGTCCATTGTTCTCACTTCCCACTCATCACCTCACCAAAGACTGCTGTCCACACCCTTCAGGCACCAGTTTATTGCCAAATCCAAGTTATGTCTTGGTTATGTGCCTGTCAGAGTTGTCCACTAAGCGACTTTTGACATTTTGTTTGTGCACCCCTTTAAACCTTGTCTTTGGCTCCTTGGCTTTCAGGCAAGCTGGGCCTAGGAAGGGGCAGTGGGGTCACCATCTTCTCCATATTTCTCCCCTGCCTCTCTGACCTCTTTCTCCTTTTTGAGTTCTTGTCCCTCACCTAGACTTTGTAGAGCACATCTCTGGAAAGAAAAACCGTCTAGGTAGTATTTTACCCTGTACTTGACATTGGTATCTCTGCTAACCATTGGTCCTCTTTGGGGACATCCTGCAGGTGCCTCACACTCAGTATATCATGAAAGAGGCCTGCCTTCTCTTCTGTATTATCTGTTTAGTAAAGGGGACCACTTCACTCTGTTGCTTGACCTTAGCCCTAGGCACTGTCATGGGAAAGTGCACTGTGACTGAAAGCAGTGAGCCTTGGAATTGACTTCAGTTTGAAGCTCAGCTTGATCACACTTGCTGTATGACCTTGGGCAAATCACTTAATCTCTCAGCCTCAATTTTTCTATCTATAAAATGAGAATAACAGGAACCTAAGCCATAGATTGTTGTGAGGATGAAATGAAATGATGCATGGAGCGTTGGGCAGAATGCCTGGCACCTGAGTGTTCGGTTCATGGGGGCTACTGTGGCAGCTGTAGTAGTTGGTAATGTTTTCTGGACATGTGTCATTTTACCTTCTTGCCTAACCCCAAAAATCCCTATCCATGATAACCCCATACCCCCAACTCAAACCAGTCCACTTTTCTCCACCCACAACATCTGTTTTTCAAGCCTTCAGTTGGTAAGCACTGATTGCCTCAGGCTCAAACCCAGACTTCTGCACAGCCTGCAGAGCTCCTTAGGATCCAGCTGCTGCTTAGCATACTAGCTCCATCTTTCAGCCTCTTACTTTTTAGCCTACCTTCCTGCCTCCTAAGATCTCTAGACACCACACCTCCCCTGGCAAAAGCAAAACAAAACTTGAGGCTCTAGCTGTACCTCTGCATAATTTTTGCTTCCTATTGATGTGATTTTTCATTTTCCCTTTATTTTACACTTGTTCCTTCAACCTAGAATGTGCTTATCTCATTTTTTCCAGGATAATTCCACTCATCCTTCATTGCCCCTCTAGGAACGCTCTCAGACAACCCAGGCTGGGTTAAAAGCACCTTGTACTTTCTGCCCTGTAGCATTTGACACTATCGCTGAATTAAGCAGTCCATTTATATATATCTCTCCTCTTTGGCTGACTAAAGCTGGGAAACAGAGACTGTGTCTTGTGTCCAGCTTCACTCCCAAAGCTTAGCCACTGCCTCACAGTCAATGAGCAAATGGAACTGAGAAGTGTGGAACTTCTGAATCATCCCTGTGCCTTGTCCTGATTTGACCACTTACTAGCCACCTAACGTTGAGCCAATTTTGCATTCTTGCCAAAGTTGAAGTTCGTCACCTGTGAACTAGGCGTTATACTGCAACAAGGGCAGTGGTGAGGGCTAAGACGTGACCTGCTGCACGGAGCCAGGTTTGTGAGGAGCTGCTGTGCACTGCTTTCTCCTTTCGATGCCAGTGTTTGTAATGAGGAGGTGCTGTCCATACCAGTGCTGTTCAGGGTTTCTGGACACACAGCAAACATTCTATAAGTGAGTAAAAACTCCTTATCCATAACAACCAGAAGCCAGGCTGTGCTGACTCAGGCATACAGGGAGAGACCACCCTACGGTCTCCAGGTCACTGCAAACACTGCTCCAGGCCACATTGCTGCTCACCTGAGAAGGCAGAGTCCTGGCACATGGGGAAGGAGACTTGGCACCAACCCTTATAGCTGTCCTCAGAGCAACTTTTTCTCCCTAAATTACAAACTTGGAAGTTAGGGTTCAAAGAGAGGAAGTGATTTGTCCAAGGAACTCTAAGGAAGGCTGCGTTTAGGTATGTAGTCACTGTTCAGAAGAGACGAGAATACACACCTGCCCACTGTGTTTATGCTAATTCTGAGGTGATGGCAAGTCTTCTCTCCCCAGGTTCATTTTCCTGTCTCCTCCTCAGTTTGCAAGTCAGCTGGAAATACGTAAGGTGGTGCTCTGCCATGTCCTTCCCATCTCACTCCTAGGTCCCTGTGAAGGCCTCGTTAGCCTCTAGTACCTTGTATCTAGGCAGACAAATATGGATAGCTCAGCCACAGACTGATTTCCATTGTCCTGACTCAAGTCTGCCAGAGGGGATTTACAGGACCCAACTTCTTGGGACCTCCTAGTCTTCACCTGGGCTCGGGCTGCTTTTGCATCTTGTTGTGAGGGCTCTGTCACTGGTCATGGTATGCTATAGGACACTTTAGATGTGGGCTTGGATATATGGAGCTGGCTGAGCAGTGAGAGACCTTAAGAGATATCCCTCTTCAGTAATACAGCATTAGGAAGGCACTTGCATGGTAGCCACTCAGTAGCTCAGCTCTTACATCTTACTTCAAGACTGCATAATAATAACAACACATTTTCCCTGCTACACACAGAATTGAAGAGACTGCCTCTCCATAGCCATGCATTCCCACTTTGTTCTTTTTTTTTTTTTCTTCTTCTTTTTTTGGTTTTTCGAGACAGGGTTTCTCTGTATAGCTTTGGTGCCTGTCCTGGAACTCACTCTGTATCCCAGGCTGGCCTTGAACTCACAGAGATCCACCTGCCTCTGCCTCCTGAGTGCTGGGATTAAAGGCGTGCGCCACCACGGCCCGGCTCCCACTTTGTTCTTTATTCCAGAGTTACTGTCTACTTTGCAGATGAGTCCACTGGTGCCTAACTGGGGAGTGGGTGAATTACTCAAGCTCCCCATGCTAACTCATGCCTAGGAAGCAGATCCTAGCATTCTTAGACCCAGAACTGACACAGGCTCATGATGGGTAACTGTCAAAACCCTACCCTTGGGAGCTTATTTATACTTGTACCCCAAGACTTGATATTGTCTGGTTTCATTGTCCCCTCATTCCCGCAGGGTTGAGGACCATGTGGAGATCACGAGTCTCTGCCTTCAGCAAGTGAGTGGCAAAGCTAGGTCCCAGGCTGATGTGTCAGGTGTCATATTGTACCTGGTCACTGGCAGACCTCTGCTGAAACTGCCTCTTCTATTGGCAGGAAAAAGAGAAGGCCCGGTTGGCAACAGACGCTCTGAAGCAGGTGAATCGTGTTTCTGGAAGCCAGGAGCTAAGGCCTGCCAGGGAGAAGCTCCTCGACTGGCCTGACCAGGAGCTGGACCGAGTCAATAGCTTCTTGAGCAGCCGCTTGCAGGAGATCAAGAGTACTGTCAAAGACTCCCTCTGTGCCAGTTTCAGCATGTGCGAGCTCAGCGTGGATAGCAGTGGCTTTAAGGAGGGGGCTGTGGAACCTCAGCCCCAGACTCTAACCCCTTCAGACCTCAACGGCTCCTCTGAGCAACAGCCTGATATCAATCTTGACCTGTCCCCTTTGACTTTGGGCTCCCTTCACAGCCACACATTACAAGCTCCAAGTGAGTCAGTTGCACCATGGGCAGAAGGAAGAGACCCTCACCCACCATGGACAGAGGTGAGGGGCCCCCCTCCTGGTATCCCTGAGAATGGGCTCGTGAGAAGACTCAACACTGTGCCCAACCTGTCCCGGGTGATCTGGGTCAAGACGCCCAAGCCAGGCAACCCTAGCTCTGAGGAAAGTTCAAAGGAGGTCCCCAGTAAGAAACAGGAACTGTCTGAGCCTGTGGCCACAGGTGGGAAGCCAAGAAAGAGCAAGAGACAGGGAAGTCAAGCAAAGAAGAGTGAGGCGGGTCCAGGCCCCTGGCCTCCAGCCAACCTAGAGGCTCCCAGTGCCAAGAGCCAGATATCTAGCCCCAAGCAGCCAGGCAAGGGCCCAGATCCTGCCAAAGTGGGTAACTGTGCAGAACCTGGAGAGGACAGCCGGGGGAGCCGGCCAGGACCAAGTTGGGCTGACAACCCCAAAATTGAGAAGAAGGGTAGTTCCTGGCAGAATTGGCCGGGTGAGGCCAAGGCTCGAACTCTGGAGCAGGAATCTGTGCAGACCCCAGGCCTAGCAAGGCCACAGAGCTTGTCCCAGGGCAAGGGCCGCAGCCGCCGGAGCCGCAAACAAGAGAAGTCAGCCTCCTCCTTGGGTGAGTGCACCAGGAACCAAGTGGCAGAACCCCCACCCCAACCAAGCCACGGGGTGGAGGGCAGTCCCCGTGTATGGGCAGCACTGCTCCCAGCATGACCCCAGAGGCCTGGCCATGGGCACTGAGCCCTCCTGGCTGTGTCTTCCTAGACGATGTGTTCCTGCCCAAGGACATGGATGGGGTGGAGATGGATGAGACAGACCGAGAAGTGGAGTACTTCAAGAGGTAGGTGTGTACTGCCTGCTTTTCCCCTGACTGAGGGGAGATTATGTCCATGCCCAAGCCCCATGTTGTGTTTCAGGCCTGAGAAAGTCCTTGGGGGGTCCTCACCACCCTTCCAGGACCCCTGTGTAGCCTGAACCCATGGAGCCACTTGGCAAGACAGCATCTGAGGTGCAAGGCATAAGGAGAAGGAGCCATGTCGGGACAGAAAAACTAGGGCTCTTCCAGCTTTATACATCTGTATTTCTTACTCATTTTAGACGGGTTCAGTGTAGCCCTGGCTGCCCTACAACTAACTCATCATGTGAACTAGGCTGGCCTCAAACTCACAGAGGTCCCCTTCTCTGATTCCCAAGTGCTTAGGTTTTATTTGTACTTCTTTTCTAGTGGGTCAGGATCTAGGAACAGTCTAGACAGGGAGAGGTTCAGAAATACACAGCCCACTGATCCATGCTTGTAGAGACATAAAGGCATGCTGGTGGCCATCACACCAACCTGGAGGTTAGTGGAGGAGGCCTTTCTGGGAAAGGTGGATAAGACTGAGCTGAGCTCACCAGGTGAAGTGGTGACCGTGGGTGGGGCAGTGTTCACAGAAGTCTGAGGGTACAAACCAGCTCAGCAGAGCAAGGGTAAGGCAGAGATGATGACAGTTTGTGTCTCACGGCAGTTGTCTCGCATTGTCCCCTGGCCTCATGGGCAGTTCTCATGCCTGTCAAACACCTGGAAGCCACAGTGTCTACTTAGAGCCAACTTGTTTCTTTCTTTCTGTTTTTTTAAAGAGTCTTGCTGTAGCCCAGGCCTCCAATTCACAGCAGTCCTGAGTGCTGGGATTACAGTGTACACCACCATTCTGGGTTCCAGTTGGTTTCTGTGAATGAGACATGTTTTATCTAGAGGTGGGGTCCAGTGAGGACAGGAGAGAACCTATCACTGTGTTTTACCCATATTTCCTAAACCCAATAGGTTCTGTTTGGATTCTGCAAAGCAAACTCGTCAGAAAGTTGCTGTGAACTGGACCAACTTCAGCCTCAAGAAAACCACTCCTAGCACGGCTCAGTGAGATGGAGACCTCAACTGGTACTTGCACCCCACTTTTCCCATGCCCTGCCACCTTCTGTGCCCCTCTAAACCATTCTGTATTCTGGGTCTGGAGAGTAGGGCTCAGGGCTTGCTGTCCCTGCTTCTTCATCTCTGTAGCAACCATCTGTCCAGGCGCAGTTGCTGATGATCTGTACCCTGTCCTTTTCTGTGTGTCTGCTCACCCAAGGCCTCTGGTCTTCCATCACATCTCCCTTGTTAGACCCTCCCTGAATCTTGCTGCTGCTTCTCCTGAAGGTCTGCCTCTTAGGGTGTCATCACTGGGTCTCCTTCAACCTCCCTCCCGAAGCCTCCAGACAGCAGTAGACTTCATGGAGCTGCACCATGCTTGGGCATCGGGCTTAAGTCCCATTTGCTTCCTCAGTGCAGACTGTCTGAATGCCATCCACCTTAAGCAGTATAAGAGAGCAGCCCCTAGGGAACAGGGAGGGCAAGTGAGCTAGAGCAAGTGAGCTAGGTCATTGATAATCATGGAGGTGTTAGTGAGGGTTCTTCCCCAGTAGGGCAAGTTCCCTGAGGAACTAGTAGGTAAGCTGTCTTTTAGGAAGAAACTGGCCCACAAGCAGCTCTGGCCTCCCTCCAGCCACCTGCACAAATCCTTTTATCTGAACTGTTGACATATTAGATAATGTTCTGGGGCTGGGTGCCCAAAATTGGAGAAAGCCTCCAGGCTAGGAGCTTTACTGAAGAAGAGATAGGCAGCTTGTACATAGTTATTGGGGCCCAAGGCTATTCAGTTCCATGTCTTCTTTTTTTAGTGATTTATTTTTACGTGCATTGGTGTTTTGCCTTTGTGTATGTCAATGAGAAGGTGTTGGGTCCCAGTTACAGATAGTTATAAGCCGCCGTGTAGATGTTGGGAATTAAACACGGTTCCTTTGGAAGAGCAGCCAATGCTTTTTACCTCTGAACCATCTTTCCAGTCCCACAGTTGCATGTATTAATCTTGTGCTGTGTACCCAGATCAGGTCTTTCTGTCTGACAGCTATTTAGCTGCCCTTAATAACAGTGGGAGGCTTGGACAGGTGGCCTCATCTCTATATGCATACTCTTGATGTCCTCATCTGTCTCTGTGCTCCTCTGCTCTTTAAAAAAATTCCCCTCTGGGGTGAAGCAGTGAGCTTCCTGAACCCTGCACAACTCCTCGGGGCAGGACAGAGGCCTGAGGCCCCCATGCTGTGCACATGCTGCCTCCAGTGAAGGCTGTTTTCTTCAGAATCCCTCAGGCTTCCTGTGCTTTGAGGAGTCTGATCCTCTGCCACACCAGGATAACCACACCCCAAGAGCATCTTCTAAGGCTAAGGCATCCTCTTACCTTTCTTCACCACGACAAGAGCAAGGAATAACAAAGACCCCAGGCATTTATCTGTTGCCCCTGTGGAAAGAAAAAGGGTCACACCTCCTCACATAAGCCCAATTTCACTGGTTTTCTGGAAAACCTAATCCAGCCATCTTCTGCCTTGGCTGATCTCTTCCAAGATAGGAAGGCTACTACCCTCCTCCCCACCCTCATGAGTGAGTGTCCTTGAGTCTCTTCCGACAGGATCAGAAGCCTACAGTGCTGGCAGGCTCAGGACCTAGTCCAGGTTGTTTCCTTGGAACCTGAATAGGAGTCTGAATACAGGACTGGCCTCTACCAGTATCTGTCAGTGAGAGAACAAGCAACCAAGCTCTCACTCAGCCCTGACCTGGACAGATGTGCTGCAGGAATGGCCTCAGGTTTCTCAAGGATTGTCCCATATGTTGACAGAACCTCAGGACTGGAACTCTGTCCCTCAACAGTTTTAAGCTTCATTTTCCACTGGAAATTTTCAAATTCTCATTCGGGAAGTCTGTTGCTTGTCTTCAGGCCAAGAAACAAAAACAAAACTTATTACCACCTCCACAGGGACCCAGAGCCAGCAGGGTGCTGGGGAGAGACTGGTGCTGTGACCCATCCCTAACCCAGAGCCAGCAGAGCCACCTGGGGCCAGGGTGAGGAGGGGGTGGGGACAGAGCTGATGCTGACTATAATTCTGTCATTTTTTCCCTCTCAGCCCTGCCCAGGTCAACTTCTCCAGGTCATCTCAAGGCCCCAACTCAAGCTGCAGATGTAGTTTCTTCTCCGTGTGCCCTTCTACCTGTCTTGACCCTCCCTGCTCCCACCACCCTGACCAACCAAAAGCTGAATGGATGCCATGCTGTGCTGGGGCCTTACAGGACCTCAGCAGAGCCGCTTCCTGGTGCTACGCAGCCTCCACACTCAGAGCCCAGGGAATGGGCTGGCCTGTGAGCCAAGGGCTGATGGTACTGCTGGCCCAACACTGCTCTCTTTGTGTTTTGTTTTGTTTGTTTTGTTTTTTTAATTCTTTACTTTTGATACTGTGAATATCTTTCATGCAGAAAGATAAAACAACATTTGGACACAGAGTTAGTGTGATGGTGATTTGCTGGTTTGAATGGGGAGTGGATGGGATATATGTACTCAAACAGAGGATCTGTCCTGGTCACCATTATGGAACAGTATAAACAATTGGTCATATTTTCACTTAATCCTTAGAGTCCTCCAAGCAATCCTAAATGGGACTGATAGCCCAATTTAAAGAAGAGGAAACTAAGGCAAGTCAGTAAAGTGACTACTGAACAGTCTGGACTCCACTGTCCCAGCCCTTCCTTCTATTGGGAGGACCCAGGTACATGAGCCTGGAACATTATATGCGCTGAGTAGTTCAACAGTGGCTGCCTCTCTGGACATTGGAGAAGCTGAGAACCCAATACTGCTCAGTCCATGAAGCAATTCCAATCTAGTGCTGAAGGCCTGGAGGATTCCTGGAGAGCCACTGATCTTTATTTCTTTTTACTAATTTTTATTTATGTGTATGGGTGTTTTGTCCACATGTATGCCACATGCATGCACTGCCATGGAGACCAGAGGAAGACATTGAATTCCCTGGGACTGGAGTTACAGATGGTTGTGAGCTGCCATGCGGGTGCTGGGAATTGAACCAGGGTCCACTGAAGAGTAGACAGTGCTTTTAACTACTAAGCCATCTCTCCAGCCCCCAAGAGAGTTCCTGATCTTTAGTCCATATTGGAAGGCAGAAGAAGCTAGGCTCTGATGTCAGCGGCGGTAGCAGTAACAAAGTAGATGCATTCACCAGTAAGGTGAAAACAAGCAGGCAAAAAGCTTTTCCCTTGGATCTCCTTCTGTCCAGGCTATCACCTAGGAAAGTGCTGCCCATTCTGGAGGAGGGTCTTTACCCCTCAGTAAATCCTTCCTAGAAATGCCTTTACAGACCCACCCAGAGGTATGTCTGTTAGTTGATTCCAATATTAACCTTTACACTTAGTTTTCCCCTTTCGAGATGGCCATGTGATGCAGGCTGAATATGGTGTTCCTACATCTCTATGAGACCAGGTCTACGAAAGGCCCTGAGGCCTTTGCATACCTCGCACCTATAGCCATAGCCAATTGAGAACCACTCACACCACACCCAGCACAATTGGAGCAGTTAAGGGCAAACTGAATTTTTATGAATTAGGTCTGATTGCCTAGTGGGAATGAAACATGTACCCATAGACCTGAGAATAAAACAAGTAATGAACATTTATAAAGTCAAGGAATCCACTTCCATCTTCCCAATTAGTAATTTAATAGGTTTGCTAAAAATACCTCACATATACTATGTCCAAACTGCCCTAGAGTAGTTATTTTCTATTAAATGCAATTTTTGTTTTGTTTTTTGTTATTTAAGACAGGGTCTATGTAGCCCCAGCTGTCCTAGAAGTTGCTATGTGGACAGAGCTGACCTCAAATTCACAGAGAGATCCTCCTACCTCTGCCTCTGGAGAGCTGTAATTAAGGTGTATACCACCACACCATGCCTAAATATCTTTTTTTTTTTTTTTTTTTTTTTTTTTTTTTTTTTTTAAGATTTATGTGTAGAGTGTTTTGCTTACACCATGAACCTAGTGTCCAAGGTCAGAAGAGGGCATTGGATTCTGTGGAACTAGAGTTACAAATGTTTGTGAGATACCATGTGGGTGCTGGGAATCAAACCTAGGTCCTCTGCAAGAACAAATGCTCTTAACTCCTGAGCCATTGCTCCCTGAATGCTGTTCTTAGGTGAGCTTCTGTGGGTAGCACAGGTGTATGTGTAGGCAAAGAGCCCTCCACAGACGGACCCTGGCTCTCTCCACCAGAGGACTAGGTGTCGTCATCGTCGTCGGTTTCCTTCTAAAGGGAGCAGAATACGGACAACAGGTGAAGCCCTTCTCTGTATTTGTTAGCTGTGTTTCTCACACTTTGAACAGCTATCTAAAATTCCAGTTGTGCCGTAAGTGAAGGTCTGGTCAAGTACCTACAAAGATGTCTGTCTCTGGCATTCGGCACTAGCTCCAAGCATATGCAGTCACTAGTGAAGTTTGTGGCCTTAGTTCTAGCTTTCGCTCACATTCCCCTCTTCCACAATTACTCTTCCTTTATGAATTCTGGGGTGGGGGAGGTTGTTTGGTTTTGTTTTGTTTTCCCTAAGATAAGTTCTCACTATGTAGTCAAACTTAGAGGTCTTCCTGCTCTGCCTTGCTAAGTGTTGAGATTAAAGGTGTGTGCTGCTGCATGCCGGTTGTGGTGGCCCACGTCAGTAGGCGGAGGCAGGAGGATCACGAGTTTGAGGCCAGCCTGGGCTACATATTTTGCCGGGTGGTGGTGGCACATGCCTTTAATCCCAGCACTTGGGAGGCAGAGGCAGGCGGATCTCTGTGAGTTCGAGGCCAGCCTGGTCTACAAAGCGAGATCCAGGACAGGCACCAAAACTACACAGAGAAACCCTGTCTCGAAAAAGCCAAAAAAGAAAAAGGGGGAAAAAAAAGGTGTGTGCTGCCATACTTGGCTTTGGTTTTTTCTTTCAATTCCTGCTCATCCTTTGCATCCTACAAGAGAAGCCATTTGCTATGAATATCATGAAAATCGATTTGCATTGCCCTTGTGATGATTCCATGCTAGGTATTGTGGCACACACCATCCCAGCACTCTTGGGGTTGAGGCAGGAAGATCACAAGTTACTCAAAACAAATAAATAGGTTCTGTCTTCACTGTGTCCTGTCCTCCGCTCCCTCTTTGGCACTTCTGCATGGTGATCAATGCTGCTCTTACAGATACAGGCTTACAAAGGGGCGGCCCACACCACTGCCATCATTCCTCCGTAAAGTGAATCTGGACTCTGACAACCTAAGCCCAGTCTTCTTTTCACCCTCCCTCCCTCCCTCCAGCCACGGAGATCTCTGTGCCCTGAAGAATTTGTACTTGCTGTACACTCTCAGCCTCCTTCCTGTTCTCCTGGTGATTCCTTCACTTCCGCAGAAGCCCAGAGCGGCGTCTCCTCTCAGCTATCTCTAGTTTCCCAGGCGGTCACTCAGATTTATGTCATTTACACATACAGGGAGGGCCTTGGTTAAAAACTCTGCATGGCGGTGGTGGCACACACCTTTAACCCCTGCGCTCAGGAGGCAGAGGCAGGCAGATCTCTGTGAGTTCGAGGCCAGCCTGGACTACAGAGTGAGTTCCAGGAGAGGCGCCAAAGCTACACAGAGAAACAAACAAACAAAAAACCCAAAAACCCACCGTGACCATGACTTGACTTCTGACCCTTGGGGCAGAGGTGTTACCTCATGCAGATGAGGAGTCTCCCACTCGCAGCGACTCCTGGCCTAGGCAGCCCCGGGAAACCCTCTTGCAAGGCTTTTGGCCACCAGAGGGCGCAGCATCCCCCCCCCCCCAGGGTGCGGGGAAGAACGCCTTGCTGTTGGCGTGGCTCAACGAGTTCGTCCTTTCACCACACGAGTTGAGTCTTCTGCGCATGCTTCAAGTCCTCCGTTACCCACAAAGCTTTGCCAGACACTGTCAATAAGCTCTGGTGCCCGCCCACAAAAGCGCTGAAGAAAGTTTGTCCCAATACGCGATCCGGCGCTCCCGCGTTGCTAGGCGACGACTACAGTTTTTCCCCGTCTGATTGGAGCTCAGATGAGGCGTGGGGTTTTTTTGCCCTGGCATTGCGCATGTGCGCGACCAAAGATGGAGGAGTCGGAACCCGAGCGAAAGGTGGGAGTGAGGCTGGGTCCACGCGAGGGGGAGCGCGAAGGGGGAGGGCCCGCGGGCTGACTTGGGTCTCTGCAGCGGGCTCGCGCGGACGAGGCGGCCGCGGGAGGGAGCCGCTCCGAGGACGAGGATGAAGACGACGAGGACTACGTACCCTATGTGCCGTTGCGGCAGCGCCGGCAGCTACTGGTGAGGGGCGGCATTCCAGGAGGCAACGGGGGCGTGTCCCCGGCCGTCAGCGGGAGGGGGCGATCTGGGGAGCCGGAGTAGTACCTTGGGGCGTGGTTCTGAGGCAGATGAGGGACTGGTGACCTAGCTGAGCTCCGGACAGACGTGCGCTTCAGTGCACACGACCCCCTCCCCGGAAAAAGCCAGGGTCCTGGCGCCGACCATCCCGGTGCTATGCCCCCCACCTACCGAGTCTTGGGCTTGACTCTGAGGAACACTGGTGGGACCTCAGCTCCAGAAGCTGCTGCAGCGAAGACGCAAGGGAGCTGCGGAGGAAGAGCAGCAGGACAGTGGCAGTGAGCCCCGAGGAGATGAGGACGACATCCCACTGGGCCCTCAGTCCAATGTCAGCCTCCTGGATCAGCACCAGCACCTCAAAGAGAAGGCTGAAGGTGGGCCGAGCAGGAAGGAGAGAGGCTGAGCCTGGGGCGCAGTGCTCCTCTCTCTCTGACATCTTTGGCTTCTTTTGTCAGCGCGCAAGGAGTCGGCCAAGGAAAAGCAACTGAAGGAAGAAGAAAAGATTCTGGAGAGTGTGGCTGAAGGCCGAGGTATGATTATATCTGGTGCAAAGAGGATGTGGACTGAGCCACCTCCTCCCAACCTCAAGGAGATCGTGTCCCAAGGGGTCTGGCTTTTGGGAAGCAGGAGCCCCATTGAGCTATGTCTGTCTCCTCAGCCTTGATGTCCGTGAAGGAAATGGCCAAAGGCATCACGTATGATGATCCAATCAAAACCAGGTATGTCTTGCCAGTCGGCGTATGTGGCTGAAGACTGGCAGTGACACCCTGATGCCCAGCCATGCTAAGAGCCTGTGCTGACCTCTCCTGTACGCTGCCTGCCCATAGTTGGACACCCCCACGTTATGTCCTGAGCATGTCTGAAGAGCGTCATGACCGAGTTCGAAAGAAGTACCACATCCTGGTAGAAGGAGATGGTATCCCACCACCCATCAAGAGTTTCAAGGAAATGAAGTTTCCTGCCGGTACGCATGTGAGGAGAGGGGAGATGCCATGCTTTTATAATCATGCCTCTGTGAGATTGTGTCCCAGCCCCAGCTGAGCTCAGCAGTGGGCATGGAAGGTTTGAGATGGGATTTCCCTCTGTTGTTGGTGGTGGTGGTGGTTAGTTTTGGGGGGGAAGTTCTTTTGAGACAGGATCTCACTCTGCAGCCCAGGCTGACCTCAGATTCAAAGCAGTCCTACTTTATCCCTACTGAATGCTAGTGCTAACATTGTAGGCATGACCTCCCATGCCCTGTGTGGAGGTGAGAAGGTGGGTAGGTGTGAAACCAGGTGTCATTATGGAGTCGTAGTTGTCCCAGAACTTGATAAGGGCAGGCTTTCCTCAGACTCAGAGATTTACCTAGCTGTGCCTCCTAGCTTCAGGGTTACAGGTGTGTATACCAGTCCTGGCTAGAGAAAGGGTTTGATGTCTTCAAGCCTGTTTCATGACTTGCAACTTACAGGGAAGAGCTAATTTTACAGGATCCAGGACTCTAATAAAACACCCATTATTTTTTACAGCCATCCTTCGAGGCCTAAAAAAAAAGGGCATCCTCCACCCAACACCTATTCAGATCCAGGGCATCCCTACCATGTGAGTATGGGCTGTGGGCATGGGGTCCTTGAGGGAAGGGAAGAGCAGAGAAGCAGTGCCCATTGGTCCAACTGTCTTCTGCTGGGCCCAGTCCTGAAGCTCTTGTCTCCCAACAGTCTATCCGGTCGGGACATGATTGGCATTGCCTTCACGGGGTCAGGCAAGACACTGGTGTTCACACTGCCCGTCATCATGTTCTGCCTGGAACAAGAGAAGCGGTTGCCTTTCTCCAAGCGTGAAGGGCCTTATGGACTCATCATCTGCCCCTCAGTAAGATAGGCTAGCCTGGGGGTCAGGATAAGGACTGGGGCTAACTTCTGGTACCAGCCTTGTCTCTGTGCCTGTAGCGAGAGCTGGCCCGGCAGACCCATGGCATCCTGGAGTATTACTGCCGTCTGCTGCAGGAGGACAGCTCACCCCTACTGCGCTGTGCTCTCTGCATTGGGGGAATGTCAGTGAAAGAACAGATGGAGACCATCCGACAGTATGTACAAACACCCCGTCCCACAGGCATTCCCAAAGTTCCCCGAGAAGCAAAAGAACCCTTAGTTTACCCTCTGCATAATCCTCAGAGAGCTCTGTGAATCCAGCCTTTGAGGGAAGACAGGTTGGGGTGGGATGGAAGGATGTGGCTGGGTATTGTGGGAATGTGGTAGATGGGATGTCCCATTCTCTGGGATGTAAGAAGTCAAGACTTTGCAGGGAAGGGGCCATTTGAGTTTTGCAGCGGGGCAGTTCAGGCAGAAAGCTCACAGATGGAAACCTAGGGTGTCCAGAAAAATCAGAGCTATTCACTTTGATTAACCAGGAGACTAAGGTACTGATCTGGGGCCAGACCCCAACAGCACCTCTGTGGTAGTAGTGCAGTCCCCAGCCAACCTCTCTGGACCAGTGCAATCCTCAGCATTCTGGACCAGGCCCTGAGATCATAGTCATACTAGAACCCATCCCTGTGTCTGAGGTGTCCACAGGCTCGGAAGATACAGGCACAGGGAAGATAAAGTCACCTTATCAGGAAAGGGAGCCCAGCAAGGCCAACAAAGGGATACAGGAACCAGGGCTCTCTTGAGAGGCTCAGGACAGCCCTCTTGAGGAAGGTGTGTCAGGATAAGTGCAGGCCAGAAAGGTGCAGTCCCTCCCAGACAAGCAGCATGTGCTGTATACAGGGTAGCACGGGGAAGTGCTGAGAGGCAGGGAAGGAAATGGCAAAAGCAGAAGGCGAGGGCTAGCCTCTTGGAGGTGATAGGGAGAGCCAGGTAGCCCAGACCTCAGGATTTCTCTTTGTTCTCAGTGGTGTGCACATGATGGTGGCCACACCTGGACGCCTCATGGATCTGCTGCAGAAGAAAATGGTCAGTTTGGACATCTGTCGTTACCTGGCCCTGGATGAGGCTGACCGCATGATCGACATGGGCTTTGAGGGTGACATCCGTACCATCTTCTCCTACTTCAAGGTGCCGACCCTGCCTCCCTCAGGCACTCCTGCACAGATGTGTACATACTCGCATACTCCATCTTGACCTGCAGAGGGTCTCTGCACTGTCGTGTCCTCTGCTTTTCAGGGTCTGTGTCTCAGCTACTCAACATCCTCAGACCCCATCCCCCTTTACCCTCCATCTAGCCCTGCATGCCCTTAGCTCAGTGGTTCTCAACCTTCCTAATTCTGCAACCCCTTAATACAGTTCCTCGTGTTGTGGTGACCCCCAACCAAAAAGTTATTTTTGTTGCTACTTCATAACTCTAAGTTTGCTACTGTTACAAATTTATAATGTAAATATCTGATATGTAGGGATCACGGCCCACAGGTTGAGAACCACCTGCCTTAGCCCCAGTCCTCACCCTTTCTCAGGGCCAGCGACAGACTCTGCTCTTCAGTGCCACCATGCCGAAGAAGATTCAGAACTTTGCTAAGAGTGCCCTGGTAAAGCCTGTCACCATCAATGTGGGACGTGCTGGAGCAGCCAGCCTGGATGTCATCCAGGTAGGCGGGTACTCCTAATGGGCAGTCTTACCAGTACAGGCTGAAGCTAGCCATGCTCCCCTGATGCTAACTGAAGAGTCCACCTTGTGACCTTTAGCCAAGGCCATTCTCAGGCTGCCCAGCCCTCAGTGGCAAGAGGCTACCAGGTCAGCTGCCCCACACTGGGAGCCCAGCTGCAGCGTCAGGGCTGTGACTGGTCAGCCTAACCTTGAGATCACCTGACTTGACCCCTGTGTTGGCAGGAGGTGGAATATGTGAAGGAGGAAGCCAAAATGGTGTACCTGCTCGAGTGCTTGCAGAAGACGCCCCCACCTGTGAGTGCAGCTGGACTAGCTGGTCCCGGGGTTCTCGGGATGAGGTGATGGTATGATGCCCTCTAACTAGAGGTGACCTTTTTGGGCAGGTGCTCATCTTTGCTGAGAAGAAAGCAGATGTGGATGCCATTCATGAATACCTCTTGCTCAAGGGGGTCGAGGCTGTGGCCATTCATGGGGGCAAAGGTCAGGATAGTTACTGCATTGGCATAGACCTGCTGCTGTGACAGCTCCCTGCCTTCCCATTGCCTGGCCAGCCTGTGCTACTCCCAACACTCCTACTATAGTTCTGACACATACGTCATCCACCCTAGACCAGGAAGAGCGAACCAAGGCCATTGAGGCATTCCGGGAAGGCAAAAAGGATGTCTTAGTGGCCACAGATGTGGCCTCCAAAGGCCTGGACTTCCCTGCCATCCAGCACGTCATCAATTATGACATGCCTGAAGAAATCGAGAACTATGGTAGGAAGCTTGTGATGTTGATGGGCTGGACAGGAGGGGACCAGGTGTCCAGGTAGTGGGCTAGAAGCGGTTCCTTTCATTGCAGTGCACCGCATTGGCCGCACTGGGCGTTCAGGAAACACGGGCATTGCTACCACCTTCATCAACAAGGCCTGTGGTGAGTCTTTCACCGTAGCTACCTTGGCTCTACCCTGGGTCCCCCACATGTCGCTATCCAGGTTCTAGCTCCAGGAGAGAGCCTGACGGTGCCCCGTTATCCCTCTGCCTTAGATGAGTCAGTGCTCATGGACCTCAAAGCCTTGTTGCTGGAGGCCAAGCAGAAGGTCCCGCCTGTCCTACAAGTGCTGCACTGTGGGGACGAGTCCATGCTGGACATCGGAGGTAAGTGTTGAGCAGGAGCCCCGCTCTCCAGTGTACAGCTGCGTGGCTTGGGGCTGGTAAGACAGGTAGACTGGAATACCAGGAAACCAGCCCAGGCTGGTCGGGCCAGCCTGGGGTCAAGATCTAGGGCCTGAACCTTGGTCCTATGACCTTGCTGACCCTTCTCTCCACTCCCAGGAGAACGTGGCTGTGCCTTCTGTGGAGGCCTTGGCCATCGGATCACTGACTGCCCCAAACTCGAAGCTATGCAGACCAAGCAGGTCAGCAATATTGGCCGCAAGGACTACCTGGCCCACAGCTCCATGGACTTCTGAGCCATGTCTTCCCTCTTCTCCTCAAGAGGCAGCATCAGTCGCAAGACTCCAGCCATGCATACACCAGCCCTCAAGACAAGAAGCCAGCCCCGTTGGCCCAGCTGGCCTGGGCCATCCCAGTGCCCCCCAGAATTACTATTTTTGTTCTCCTTCCCCAGCTGCCATTAAAGCACAATCCCCTCTATCTCAGACCAGTTCTTCCGCTTTCTCACCCACCTGTCCCCTGGTTCCTGGACAAGCCTCACCCTCTGCTCCAGTACCACCCTGAGGCAAGACATCAACGTCTCCCAGAGTTGCCAACCTGCAAAAAAGGGACTGACTGACTGACCAGTGTGCCCATCTGGGGGCTCAGGGCATCTGGTCAGGAACGCCCCAATAGCTCAGAGGAGCCACAGTTGGGGTCACGGGGAAATGGCTGGGTCCCTGGTCTCCCTGCCGTCTGACCCTGCTGCTCGTCTCCCTCTTCCCGTGATTGCGCCAGGGCTCTGAAGCCTCTTTGGCTACCCCTCCCTGCCTGTGCAGGCGCCCAGTCAGAAATCCTTGGCTCCATCTGCTGAGGAAGTGGTACATGCCACAGAACTGCCATTCCGGCCACAGACACCCTCTACCTCTGCCTTGCCCCTCCCCACTCTCTTGTGGGCTGTAAGGAGAGAAATGAGCCAGGCAGATGCTGCCCTGACTGGGAGCCACAGGTAAGAGTCTTACATGCAGATGCCTGTTGTAGCCTAGCCCACCAACCAGAACTTGACCCTGCAGCAAGAGGGGGCAAAGAAGTACACAGCAGTCACCAGGCATCTCGGCTTCTCTGCGCCAGGACATTGTAAGACATATGCTGATTCAGCAGACAGTTGCTCAACCCATGTTTGTCACTTAGTGTGTGGCCTTTAGCAAGTTACTTAACGTATCTGAGCCTTAATTTCCTCATTGTTGAAATGTCAGTGAGAATGCAAAGTATAGGATCAGGCTGTGTAAGCTTGGAGCCGCCTGGACTAGAGTGGGCAAGGGGCCAGGAGCCAAAAGGCCCCTTGAAAGTATTTCCATGTCTATGGTGTGACCCCTAGAGAGCATTTCTCAGTTACAGCATTCTTTCCCAACGTGACATTACATGAGTGACAAGATACTTCCCATAATTCATACTCATGCACAGCCCCAATAGAGGGCTCCAGCAAGGCAGGTGGGGTGGGGGGAAGACACCGGGCAGGAAGCAAAGCTTTAAGGAGCATGTGACCTCCCTGGGGAGCACACTGGGGGCCTGCCACCCACACTCAATGTGACAAGCAGTAAACCTGGCTGGAGCCCTCGTGGACTGCTGCCTGATGGACGTGCTGTGGGGCTGCTTCAGTCTCTAACCTTGAAGAGTGGTCAGGAAAGGCCTCCAGGAAGAAGCAGCCACCTGTGGCAGGAAGAGCAGTGGTAAGGGTACCCAGAAGGGACTGATCTGAAGAAACACAACTCAGGAGGTAAAGGCAAGAACACACAGGGTGGGATGGCCCAGACTAGACTGAAAGGGAATAATGGGGTTGGTGGACAGTCAGGATGGGCCCAGGTCGGGTAAGGATAGAGAGGAGAACGTGAACTTTAGAAATACTTCTGGTTGGGCTGGGAGTGTAGCTCAGTGGCAGAGCAATTGCCTTAGCATACCCAAGGCCCTGGATTGATCCAGTACTTTGCTAGAGAGGCGTGTAGGCCTCAGAATGGCAGCCAGGAGTTTAGCAATCTGGAGAGAGGAGGGGAGGGTCCAAGGATAGGGCCCGGGCTGTACAGTTCTCATCCTCGGGGTGCACAGCCGCCTGGGGATGGGGGAGGGTTCAGAGCTCGTGACTCAGGGCATCCATCCTGTGGTCAGACACTCACGACCAGCTGATCCAGGTGCATGCGCAAGAGGCAGTGGCCCCCCAGTGGCCTCAAGCTCCCAGTAGGCAGGTGTGGTCCTGGAACAGCCAGAACCCTAAGGGAGAGATTGGTCCTGACTACTGTCCCTTCAGTGAAGACCAGGCTCCCCTCCCCCTGGCCCTGCAGCTGTCTCTGGACAGAGGGAGGGGGAAGTGGCCAGAAGGGGAAGTGAGAGGAGTTCCTGTCCAGCCTGTCACCAGTCTCCTCAACAGTCGTGGCCATGGAGTCTCTGGAGACCCCTGTCAAGGACGGCATCCTATACCAGCAGCACGTGAAGTTTGGCAAGGTGGGGACCTCAGGCTGCCAGCCATGGGCAGAGAGAGAAACCTCTGCTCAGCTAGATAGCCTGTCTAGACCTAAGAGAACTGGGAAAGGAGTCTGGGTGGGCTGAAACCTGGGGATTTGGGAGTGGAGGTTCTTGACCTGAGATTAGAGCTGAAGCATCCCTTAAGACTGCCCCATAGAGCGGTAGAGATGCCAAGACCATGGAAGGGTCTCAAGAATCTTTTTTTTTTTTTTTTTGGTTTTTCGAGACAGGGTTTCTCTGTGTAGCTTTGCGCCTTTCCTGGAACTCACTTGGTAGTCCAGGCTGGCCTCGAACTCACAGAGATCCGCCTGGCTCTGCCTCCCGAGTGCTGGGATTAAAGGCGTGCGCCACCACCGCCCGGCGGGTCTCAAGAATCTTAAGGGTCTTTGTGATGGCTCCAAAGCTCCTGGAGAAGGTCAAGGCCTGAGTGGCAGGAGCCTTCCAAGGATGGAGCGGCAGCCTGCAGGCAAAGACTGGGTCTCCATTCAGATGCTGGGGAGGAAAGGGGCTGGAGTCCATTTTACTTCTTGAGCATCAGACTGTACACCCACAGTTCAGCTGCAGCTGCTCCCTGAGTAGAAAAACTGTTTCCTTTGCTAGATATCATTTGCATGTTTCCTTCCTTACCAGCATGAAGCTGAGGCCTCCTTCCCACCCCACCCAGCCCTGGCCTAAGTGCCCTTTTTGGTTGGGAGATGGCAGTAGATAGCATAACAGCCGTGTCAGTCGGCCTGCTCCAACCACTAGATTTACAGACAATCCAGAAGAAATCCCAGGCTCATATTCTCATGGCCTTGAGAGAGAAGCATACTATTGCTATGGAGGTCATTCAGAAAAGGGCAGGGTGGGATTTGAACTCAGAGCTGACCAACCCTAAATACAGACTTCTTCCTGCTTACCTTTTCCCGAGTAAGGCCTCCTCCTTCCACAGTCTTAGGCAGGCAGAAGCCAGGCGGCCAGTTGCTCAGCAGCTTGTAGAGAGCCAAGTGGCAGGGGGAGCCTTCTTCCCAAGGGTCTTCTTCTTTACAGAAATACTGGCGCAAAGTGTGGGCTCTGCTGTATGCAGGAGGCCCATCAGGCGTAGCTAGGCTGGAAAGCTGGGATGTTCGTGATGGTGGCCTGGGGCCAGCAAGCGACAGAGCCACAGGACCTGGCCGGCGAGGCGAACGTCGGGTCATACGCTTGGCTGACTGTGTGTCTGTTCTGCCTGCGGACTGTGAGAGTTGTCCCAGGGACACTGGTGCCTTTCTGATTACCACCACTGACCGAAGCCACCTGCTGGCCGCCCAGCACCGCCAATCATGGATGGGCCCCATCTGCCAGCTGGCCTTCCCGGTGAGTGTAAAGTGAACTGGCCTGGGGGGACCACCTCAACCCTCTTCCTCATGTCCTTGCTTAGTTAGACCCTGCCACTTGGTAAGCATGCCAAAACCTGGCAAATCGGGGCAACAGCTCAGAACCCACAGCATGAATTCCAGATCCCCATGCATGCTAGAAAATCAAACAGTAGATCAGTAGATCTCTCTAAGGAGACAGTGGGCCTGAGCCCTGAAATGACAAGTGAGGACTCATCAGGCATAGGTTTGAGAAAGGTGTCTAAGACACACTGACAAATACTGATAACACTGGTATCACGGGCAAAGGTCCTGGGGCAGGGAAGCACGGTGGTTTAAAGAGCAGAAAGTGGGCCAGCCAGCCACCGAGGCATACGAGTCAGTACATTTGGGAAGTTCAGTGAGAGCCTATTGAAACCACCTTGGGCCATGTGTGGGTTGGAGGTTTTAGACTGATCAGAAAGGATGGCCCTGGAGTAGTAGTAAAGCCAGAGGATAATGGTTATGAAGATGCAGAGTTCATGATAGAAAAACAAACAAGCCTGGTAGATCCTCACAAAGTTAATCATGGAGCAGCTGGTGAGATGGCTCAGTGGTTAGAGCACTGGTTCTTCTTGCAGAGGACCCAGGTTCAATTCCCACTTGGCAGCTCACAATTGTAAGTCCCAGGGGATCAGACACCCTCTTCTGGCCTCCCTGAGAACTATACACATGTAGTACACAAACACGTATAGGCAAAACCCCCATACACATAGCAATAGGTAATAAACATTTTTTAAAACCAATCATGGAGTTACAATATGGCTGTAATTCTCCTGATTCATGTATAACCAAGAGAATGAAAAGACCAATTCTCATGGCAGCCACCATTGCCAAGAGATGAAACAACATAGGACCATCCCCTGATGAAGACGTAAGTAAAACCTTAAGTTGGACAGAGTGGCCCAGGCCTGTAACCCCAGCATTTGGAAGGTGGAGGAAGAAGGTTCAGCAATTCAAGGTCATCCTTAGCTACATGGCCAGCTCCAGGCCAGCCTGGGCTACTTGAGACCCTGTCTCAAAAACAAGCAATAAAAAAACAAGGAGCCTTGAAGAAATACAATGTGAAAGAAGCTAAACACAAAAGGTAGCACATGTGGGCTTTTAAATTCATGTGATCTATCCAGAACAAACAAATCCATACAGACAGAATGCAGGTGCATGGTTGCCGGGGCCGTGGGAGGGGAGTGGGCAGCGACGGCTGATGGGTGCTGGACTGCCATTTGTGGTGATGACAAGTTCTGGAATTAGGTGCTGCTATGACTACACAACCTTGTGAATATACTAAAAACCACTGAATTGGGTACCTTAAAATAGTAAAGTTGGGGACTGGAGAGATGGTTCAGCAGTTAAGAGCACTGGCTGTTCTTCCAGAGGACCTGAGTTCAATTCCCAGCACCCACGTGGCAGCTCACAACTGTCTGTAACTCCAGTTCCAGGGGATCTGACACCCTCACACAGGCAAAACACCAATGCATATAAAATAAAAATAAATAAACCACTTAAAAAAAACAGTAAAGTTGATTTGTACCACTTGTTTTTAAATTAAGAAATGTACAGGTTGAAAGGAAGTAGGGTTTGGCTTTGGCCGTGCTCACGGGTCAAGGTAGTTATGGTGGGCAATCAGAAATGGAAAGAACCTCGGGACTGGCTGTGGGATCACTGCTCCACGCTGTCAGAGCCCTGTGGAAGCCAGCCCAGCCCCGGGCCGCACACATGGGCTTCAGAAGCACCCCTTGGTGCTTTGGTGCTCTAGGAATAGCCAGCACTCCAGAGATGGCTTTGCTCCAAGACCAGCACTCGGGGAACCCAGTGGGGCTCGCCGCCCCTGCAGAGTGGGGGGCAGAGTGGGACCGGTGCATGGAAGCTATTGCCCGCTGACCCCATAGGAGGAGTGGGGAGAAGGAACCGGGCAGGCTCTAACTGCTGACTAAAATCTATTCCTCAGGGCACCGGAGAATGTTCCGGATCAGGACAGGCTGAGACTCCAAAAAGGGGCTTTGTTCCCATGGAGGAAAACTCTATCTACTCCTCCTGGCAGGAAGGTGACTCAGGGGACACCCTCGGGCGGCCTCCCACCCACCCCAGCAGTGGTCTCTGAGAACTGATGCAATGTCCTTGCTTCATGAGTACAGTGAGTGAGTTCCCAGTGGTGGTGCAGCGGACAGAGGCCACCACCCGCTGCCAGCTGAAAGGACCCTACCTCCTGGTGCTGGGCCGAGATGACATTCAGCTTCGGGAGACTTCCAGCCCCCAAGCCTGCTACAGCTGGCCCTACCGTTTCCTGCGCAAGTTCGGCTCTGACAAGGTGAGGTGCTGACCCACGGGACGGGTCCCTGTCGGGAAAGGTGGTAGGTGGTCAGTGTCCTGGCTCCTCAGCCACTGACCCCTGCCTGTGTCACTTGCGTGCAGGGCGTGTTCTCTTTTGAGGCTGGCCGCCGTTGTGACTCGGGTGAGGGCCTTTTTGCCTTCAGTAGTCCCCGTGCCCCAGACATATGTGGAGCTGTGGCTGCTGCCATTGCCCGCCAGCGGGAACGGCTTCCAGAGCTGGCCACGTCCCCACCCTGCCCATTGCCTCGGGCCCTCTCCCTGCCCTCCCTAGAGCCCCCTGGAGAGCTTCGGGAGGTGGCCCCAGGATTTGAGCTGGCCGCTTCCAGAAAGCTGCCTATGACTGACCCTGGGCCCCAAAGCCTGCCGCTGCTGCTCAGTCCCACACAAGAAGGAACAGTATCCAGTCTCTATGCGTCCGTGTGCAAGCAGACCAGCAGGCCCACGGCCACTGTGGAGCACCTCTATGAGAACCTGTGCGTGCTGGAGGCCAGTCCTGGGCTGTCCAATGGGGGTCCTGAGTCCCAAGAGGGCCCTCCTGGTGGCCACAGCCCCCTGGCCAGCCCCATCTATCACAGCAGCGATGACCTGAGTTGGCCTGGCTCGGCCCAGGACAGCAACCTGGAAGCCCAGTACCGGAGGCTGCTAGAGCTGGAGCTAGATGAGGCTGGAGGAACTGTCCGCTCTGGTGCACAGACAGGCATTAAGGCCAAGCTGGTGACCCTGCTGACTCGGGAACGGAAGAAGGGCCCTGCTCCCTGTGACCGGCCCTGAAGGCCTGTGCAGTGGCAGCAGGACAGAGGTGATCTCTCGGGAACTGGAGGGAGCAACTTCAGACATATCCCCTGTCTACTGTGACCTACAGGGACAAGCCAGGTAGCCTGGGGAGAAGCCGCACGCTGCCCTACCCCCTCCCAGCGGACAGTGTACAGATTGACCAATAATAAAGCTTGCCTACCAGCCCCCTTTGGTTCTGCCTATGGCCCACAGTCCACACTACCTCTCTTTCTCCTGGGTCTCCACTGGCACGCAGGACCCTTGTGTTCATTGTAGCAAACTCCAGGCCTTTGTGCTGGGCCCCGGAGACCCAGTGTTCTGAGCCTGACTTCAGTTGCCACTGGGCTAAAATCCACTTGAGCCGACAGACAGGAGACAGCTAGTTTGGGCTCTACGCGGTTCTGTGCAGCAGGAGTGGCAGGCAGACCGAGACACGAGATCTGCTGACAGAAGTGCCCCTACACTGAGTTAGAAGGGCAAGCACAACAAGGCAGGCTGTGAGCCTGGCATTTCCAGGCTCCGGAGGGCCATTCATGGGGTAGAGTAGGTGCTTGCTTGTTGCCCTGCAGTAAACTGGGTGTCATCCTTGAAGAGATAACAGACTTGTCAGGGAACGATAGGAAGGCTGGATCTGGGGGGATAGAGGAAAGCAAGGCAGTGAAGCTGTGGAGGAGGTGACAGGCGGAGGTGGGAGCGGTGTGGTGGGGAAGGACAGGAAGAAGGGCTCTAGAGGGCACACATTCAAAACACTCGGGCCTAATGGAACTCAACCAGTGTGCAGACACACCTGCAGAACCTCTGGCCTGCTTTATCAACTATAAAGAAGCAATGAAAATTAAAAAATAAAGTCCTGCCGGGCGGTGGTGGCGCACGCCTTTAATCCCAGCACTCGGGAGGCAGAGCCAGGCGGATCTCTGTGAGTTCGAGGCCAGCCTGGACTACCAAGTGAGTTCCAGGAAAGGCGCAAAGCTACACAGAGAAACCCTGTCTCGAAAAACCAAAAAAAATAAATAAATAAAAAAATAAAGTCCTGTGGGACCGGAGGCAGAGCTCAGTGGTGCAAGACCTACCTAGTATGAGGTAGACCCTGGGTTCAATCTTACACACACACACACACACACACACACACACACACACACACACACACGCACACACACACACACACACGTAAAACAAAAAGACTACAATATCCAGGAGCAGAGACAGGTGGATCTCTGTGAACTTGAGGCCAGCCTCATTTCCATAGTGAGTTCCAAGACAGCCAAATGAGAGCATACCTCAAAATAAAAAAAAAAAAAACCAAACACACACACACAAACACACACACACACACATACAACCAAAACAAACAAACAAAAAGCCCACCAACAGCATCAAAGATTAAAGTATAAATTAGACTTAATCATTAAAATTTTTACTTGGGGTGGGCGGGGCGCTAGAGAGGTGACTCAGCAGTTAAGAGCACTGGCTGCTTGCTCTTCCAGAGGATCTGAGCTCATAACCATCTGTAACTCCAGTTGTAGGGAACCCAATGCCCTCTTCTGGCTTCCCCGGACAATGCACGCATGCAGTTAAAACATCCAGTACACACAAATATTTTTTAAAAGCGTTTTATTGAGAATGTGGGTGGGGAGATAGCTCAGTGGCTAAAGAATGTGTCCCTGGAGTTGGGATTCCCAGAATCCACGTAAAAGCCGAGGTGTGTTGCTACCTGTCATCCCAGCTCCTGGGAGGCAGAGACAAGATCACCATGGCAAACAGGCTAGGTAGACCGGACAGAGTCAGTGAGATCCAGCTTCAGTGAGAGGCTCTCAACAAAGTGGGAGGCAGTGGAGAAAGACACTCAGTGTCACCTTCTGGCTTACACACAACATACACACAGAGAGACCTATGTATGTGAAACCCACACATGTACACATACTACACACATGCATATGCAAAGCACACATGTACACATATTACACACATCCATATGCAAAGAAGGTGAGTTTCTCTTGGACTTTCCTCATGCATTCATTCAGTCCCCAGCATCAGCATCCTGCCATCACCATCTCCAGCCGTACAGAAACTGAAGGATGCTCTCTGGTTCCACATCTGAAAAGAAACCTGCCTTTACCCCACACTCTCCATCTGCAACTTCCCCCATTTCTCTGTTCTTCTCCACAGCGAAACTCCTCAAGAGTTGAATTACTCTCATTTCCAGTTTCCCACCCCCCACTCTCTCCCTGACTTCAGTTTCCTCTTTGTCTACTGTTCCATTACATAACCTTTCTTTTTTTTTTTTTTTTTTTTTTAAAGATTTATTTATTTATTTTGTATTCAGCATGTATGACCAGAAGAGGGCACCAGATCTCATTACAGATGGTTGTAAGCCACCATGTGGTTGCTGGGAGTTGAACTCAGGACCTCTGGAAGAGCAGTCAGTGCTCTTAACCTCTGAGCCATCTCTCCAGCCCTACATAACCTTTCAAAGTCAACAGCTACCTACCAGACCAGGCTGCACATTGAGACCCTGGAGCCCTCTGCTTCTTGGTATTCCTTGCCCCTTCCCGATGCTTCTCGGAGCTTTCCTGCTCCCGTACTGTGTCTCCTTCATAGTGAGTCATTTTTCAGTGCTCAGGATTGAAGCCACTGCCTTTTGTCCACGCTGCCCATGTTGTTCCACTGAGCTGCAGAAACAGCTCTTTTCCTCTCCTCTCTGTTACCGTTCTTCTTAGAGTTCTTCAGCTAAAAGTGTAGTTCAGTCTGGCTCTGTGCGGAATCACTTGGAGACCTTTGAAGGATACCCATGCCTAGGCTCACACACAGAGCTCTGATTTTTATCGATTGGATACATGGAACTTTGGCATCAGTGTTTGGTCTCTAAAATTCTGGGATGATTCTAACATGCATCCTGAGCTGAACCACTGGTATAAGCGAGTTAATCACTAGGTTCGTTTTCTTAAGATTTATATTTCTTTCATGTGCATGTGTGTTTTGCCTTTGTGTATGTGTGCACCAAAGATATGCAGTGCCCATGACAGCCAGAAGAGGGTGAGGGGCTTGGATACTCTGGAACTGGTGTTACAGACTCCACTTATGTTAGTCACCCTGTGGGTGCCAGGAACCAAACCTGGGTCCTCCACAAGACCAAAAAGTGTTCTTAACTGCTGAGTCATCATTCCAACCCCACACATCACTAAAATTTAAAGGCCATGTAAATGCTGATAACTTCCAAAGGCATGTCCATCTTCAACGTAGACTTTCTGGGGTTGGAGAGATGGCTTAATGGTTAAGAGTGCTTACTGCTCTAGCAGAGGACCAGTGTCTGTATGTCAGCACCCACATGAGGTGTCTCACAGATGCCTGCAACGCCATGGAATAATAAAACTCTCCTCTGGTCTCTATCTCTAACGAATCTCTACACACACACACACACACACAACACACATTCCCCCTTCACCCCCCCCACCACACGCATCACCCCATCTACCCACACACACCACACACACACACACACACACACACACACACACACACACCACACATCACCCTCCACACACACACACCACACACACACACACACAGACACACACCACACATTACCCCCCCACACACACACACCACACACATCACCCCTATCCACCCACACACACACCACACACACATCACCCCCCACACACACACACACCACACACCACACACACACACACACCACACACACACACACACACCACACACACAGACACACACCACACATTATCCACCCCCACACCACACACATCACCCCTATCCACCCACACACACACCACACACACATCACCCACACACACACACCACACACCACACCACACACACACACACACACACACACACACACACACATGCTTTCCACTCACTCCAGTACAGCAGGCTTTCTTGGACTGCCAGCCCCCAAATCATGACATAAAGACTCGGTGGCCTTAGCTTAGTTTCTAGCTAGCCTTTTTTTTTTTTAACTTAAAATAACTCATTTCTATAATTGGATTTACCTTTGGGCTGCCAGCCCCAAATAACAACATGGAGACTTATTAATTATGAAAGTTTGCCCTTAGCTTAGGCTTGTCCCACTTATAACTTAAATTAATCCATATTTTTATTAATCTTTGTTCTAGGTGGCTTTTACCTCTCTCCCATTTTGTGGGCCCAACTTGTTCTGCTTCTCGGTGGTGTCTTCCACTTCCTCTCTGCCCACAAGTCCTGCTTATCTCTCCTGCCCAGCTATTGGCCATTCAGCTCTTTATTAAACCAATCACAGCAATATATCTTCACACAGTGCACAAATATCCCACAACACATTTCTATTAATTTACGTGCTTCCCCGAGGCTTGTTTACCTCATCTATATAATGTCCTTCCTGCTTTCCTGCTTCCTCTGCGTCTGTCTGTCTGGCCACAGGCTGTCTCCCCTTTTCCCTCTGCTTGTCAGCCCCACCTATCCCTCTTCTACCTAGCTATTGGCCATTTAGGTGCCCTAGGCAGGCCAGGTGAGACAACAACACACCTTTACCTAGTTAAATAAGTAGTCTACGCCACAACACTCCAGATTTAAGAATCCAACTGCACAATGCACATCTGGATATCTAAAAGGCATTTCTAGGTCTAGGGCTGTAGCTCAGGGGTACAACACTTCTTCTCTAATATTCTTGAAGCCCTTGATCCCTAACACTGCCAAAAGAAAGAGTATCTCCAAGCTCAATGTGTGAGGAGAAGTTGGAAGATCGGGCCTCTGTGCAGTACTGTTTCCAGGTATGTTTGAGAGCAGAGAGGAAAATCCAAAAGGAAGTTAGAACTGTGAGAGGCAAGTTTGCACACCACTCACCAAGCACTGACAAATAACATCTTCCACAACTGATCACAATGTCGCAGAGCAGACGAGTCCAGGAAGCTGCTGTGTGAACTGCTGTGGCAGGGACACCATCTCCCACAGTGGCTAGAGCACTTGCTAGTTCATTAAATACTGGGACACACTGGAGCCAGGGTCATGACCAAAACTAGAATCCAGAACTCTTGAATCCTCAGTCTGGTAACTTTTCCTTAATTGAAAACCTAAGCCTCAGGGCCAGGGATATGGCTCAGTGGTAGAGAGTTGTTTCAGAATGGACAAGACCCTACACTGATCCCCAACACTGCAAGAGTCAAAAATCTAAGCCTTAGCTAGGGGTCGTGGCCCATT